TTGGGCCTGTATTTAATTTAGAAACTGGATTCTTAAGAGGGTGATTAGACTCTATATTTCTCTTAAGAGAAATGCTGCTGTATGATGAGCAGCTAAGTTTAGTTTTGAACTGAATTGTATTTGGCTGAAGTTTCGTAACTAGCAGCTGAGATACCTTTGTCCAGTCGACGGTGTCACTGGAATTGTCACATTTTCGAATGGTCAGGATTCGTAGATTTTTATAAAGTTCCTTGAAAGCTAGAAACTTTTCAGGAATCATCTTACTTCTACATTATAAGGGTGTCTAGCCAGTCTTTATTATACTTGTTAATTGTGAGGGTATAAAAAGATCTCCCGCTCCTTTAACGGCATATCGTATGGAACTATGTGCACTATCCCCTTCACTTTGTCCGTGGTGGGGCTCAAAAAACGTGATACGAATCTCATCTAATGTAGTGCTGTTATTTATGCAATAAAGCATCATTGTGGGTAAAATTGTATTTTTGTTTTGGCCAGCACAGCCATCGCAATATAAGTGAATAACACTTTTGTTTTGGTATTCAATTTTTTTTATAGAAGTGTAAACGCCAGTGGCAACCTCCGTTGACCCTCTTTTGCTAATTGCCTCGTGCTACAAATAGCAATCACAGTCTCTAGATGATATATCATATACAGTTAAGTTGTAAACTGACAACCTTCTTTTGTAGAATACAGCACTCTCCTTTGATATTGGAAGTGAAAAAACTTGTTGCAAGTCGAAAACAGCACAAGCATACTTTGAGTTCGGTTGCTGAGCCATTTGTTTACTTTCATCTTTCATTTTTCTAACGTTATTTTTTCTAACGATGTGTTATTCATATTCTAGTGATAACTCCTTTTTTTTCTTCATCGCCATTATTATATGACATACAAAGGCTGCATTGATCCTTTTTGGGTTCGTGAAAGGATAGATTCATAGAATTGAATACTTTGCAGTACACAGAATAAGCTCCTTTCATTAGAGGTCCAGATTCATCTGCTAGATACATGGAAAACATCTTTAGTATACTAAGATTTTCATGTAAATATTCACGAGTTGAATTTTGACGGCAATAATAAGATCCAACTCTTCCAAATTTATTTATGTGTTCGGTAAATCCATTAATTAATTGAAGGTCTCTATCGAATTGTGACTTATACTTTTCTCCTCTCTGTTCTTTTTCTATAATTCCAGTTGTTCTTTTCTTCGATAATGTTGTACTTATAGTCTTTGCTGTCGTTGCCAGAGTATTAATAAAAAATGTTTTACAAACTGGTAGTTCGTCGCCGTCTAACGGAAGAAAGCAATTGCTTTTATTTCTTTGAGATACCTCTTCTTGTGTAGATTTTTGTTTGATTTCTTCCATTTTTATGTAACTTGCAATGTGCTCTCTTTGTAACTGCAAGGAAAGGATCCCATTGAAAAAAATCTTGCATAATCTCTTGTCTTTTACTATCACTGAATAGACTACATTTCTTATTAGGTTTTGAACGTGATTCCTCATTGCATCGAGGTCCCAAATATTTTGGTGGCATGAGGTTCATTGTTTCCGGTCTTACATAACACTGTTCTTTGGCTAATTTATATGAATTTATTTTCCTGACTTTTTTAAATAAAACTCCTCTTGGAGATCCCTCGACTGGAAACAAGCTCTCCGGATTGTAATCTTGGTGTGAGCGGCAGTTATTATCTGCTTTAAAGTGTATAGTAAGACTTTTAAGCAGATACAAGCACTATATATTGTAAATTTGAACAATTTGGTTGTTCACAGAGCTTTTCGTTGCTATCTTCATTACCTAAGTTAGCTGCTTCATTTGCCTTCGGGTTTCTTTTATTTATCTTTCTAGACTTTTTCTCTAATTCTTTATTTCTAGACTAAATAAGTGACGCCGACATAGATCATGATTATTGCAAACTTCTTTGCAAAATGTACATTTTAATGCCTTTGTTTTTACTTTTTCTCGCGGTACATTCATAAACAACAAAATCAGGGTTTTCATCTCTGTAATCTCCAAATAATGAGTCCTCACTTTCACTATTGGATTGAGTATACTTTCGTTTTTTAGCTTCTCTTATTATCGGTTGTCTCAAAAGTGTGTTTGGTACATCAACTTTATTCTTGTTTTTTTAACAATGGGAGGCATATTATCATCAGAGCCACATTCGCTTAAAGGATATTTTGTAAAGCCAACTTCCTTCGGGGTATTATCATCAGAGCTGTTGTACTGTGCGTCACTATCATCGTCATTTTCTGTAGCAACTATTATTCCATAGTAGAATTTTCCACCATAGTCCATTTTTACTTTTTTATTTTTTTCGAAATGGTTTGATCCATCAATAAGAGACAATTCTTTAATTGCAACAACATTTTCTGTTCCATCTTCCCATTTAATTAAAACATCTATGATTATTAATTAGTTATCTAAAACAAATAATAATTACAGGTACCTACCTACATAATACAAAAATATTTTTTAAATTTTGTCTTCGTGTGATATGGCCATCATATCCACTCTTGTTGCACAAACTACTATATCCTAACTTCCTGATTTAGTACAAGGCTCCAAAAAGACCTAATTTTTAAAACCGTTGCCAAATTTAATAAACTATACTATTTATAGTAATTATTAATATTGATACCATCCAGAAGAGGATCATTCACCTATTTAACAACTCCAATCCCATCAAAATCCTTGCTTATTTCGGCCACAATTATGCAACGGGCTATATGTCCTTTTTGTATATACTTCAATAATATTGTCGGGTGGACTGCTCCTCTAAAATTTTTTCCATTATCCGATCATTAGCTAAAGCAACTCGTTCGTCCAATGACTAATATCTTTCTTAGTCCAATTTAAAGGTCTAAAACCAACATGTATAACCGCTCCTTCATACATACCTAGAGATGCTGGAAATTGGAACTTTATTTCCGATCAAGCTTTTCCTGATTCTCCCGAAACTCAATGATTTAAGACATATCATCAAGAAGCTGCTTTGGGGTATCCTGGGCCTGTTCATATCTACATAGGTACCTAGTGCTTAGGTTTTTCCTTCGCAGCCGCTAATGCATTTTGTCAGTTGAACATATAGTCCGCGATAGAAACATTTTATCGATAGCCTTAAAAAGGGAGATACAATTACACACAATTTTTAGGTATTAACACTGCACAACAGCATTTCTAATGATTAAGTTATACTAAATGATACTAGCCTAATTTTTAATGAGTACTTCAAATCTGTAGTCTAAATTTCTGTATTAGCTTTAGTTTAAAAAATATGACACATGGCCGTTTTATAGTAAAACACAATTTGTTTAAAGTTAATCATATTTTATTTAGTTCTTAAGGTGAAAAAAATTTTCTTTTATAAGACTTGCAGAGGTTGAACCCATAGAACTGTTCTGAATGCTCCAACAATAGTCAGCCATCATGTGTGCGTTCCAGTAGCCTTAATACCGTTCCTCTATCGTACAAAGGTCCTGGTTTTTCTTAATTTCTGCCATAGTGTCCGTAAATTTTGTGTCTTTTATTAATGATCTTATCTGTGGCCCATCGAACCTGCCCGCTCTACACTCAGTTTCGGGAATGTTTTTGATAGAAATAGAAAACAATTTCCAGTTTTGTTAAGATTGTTGACAAACTGTTTTATAAGCCCTAATTTTATATGCAACGGAGGCAAAATTATACGATCTCTTGACACTGTGGGTGGGTTTATCACGTTTTGTTGTCCCGAAACTAGATCTTTCCGAGTAGGCCAATCCTTTTTAACAATATGTTGATTTTTAGCTCTACTATCCCACAAGCAAAGAAACAAGGATACTTTGTGTAACCACCTTGCTGGCCTAATATAAAGTTGACCATTTTTAAATCAACACATATGATCCAGTTATAATCCACATATTTAATTTTGTCCAAAACCAGAGCAATAGTTGTATATTCTTCTTTTACTTTTGTAGAATGTGGAAAAGGCAACGACCCTAATTTATTCCCATTGTGTAAGAGAACACATTTTAAACTCCGTTTTGACGAGTCTATGAATAAACGCCACTCACTAGAAGCCTAATTTTGTAATCCCATTGCAGCCATCAATTTACAAAATACGAAATTGTCTTCTTCAGCAAAATGTTTGAGGAAATTCTGTTCTCTTGTGCGTTAATAAGAAATTTTAATTTCTCTCGTTACCAATTTTCTTTCTTTTAGCCTTAAAGCCAAGATTTCTGAAGCTGACTTTGACAGTTCCAGATCTCTAATTAAGTCGTTTAAATCATCTTGATTGAATGGTTTTGGCGTTCCCAGGTCGCATTCAAAGTCACTATCACTACTGTGGTTTTTCGTCTCAAAATCTTATATGGAAGGATATTCCCATTTTGCTCGATTTTTTCGGTTAATAATAGTTATGTTCAACAAACAAAAATAACAATCATTGTGGTTCATGGGTTCATTTCAAATCATAGCGGTTTTGTACCTGAAGCTATGTTTTCTCTTATTTGTCTATAAACGTGGGAACTCAACGCATGTTTTGCATTATGTAAAGGGGGGCAGGTTCGGGCGGTTTTGGCTTGAGTCAATTTGTAGCTTTATTTGGGCAAAAACAAAACTTCTAATAACAAAGATATCTTGCCTATTATGTTTTCTCCCTGTTACCATAGTTATATTTGAATTATCGTTCAAAGTTTTTTGTCAAAACGGGTTACAAAAAAAAGTTGCATTTGTCCAAAGGTGCCCCATGGTAAGGCAGTTCTGGACGAGCATGGAGTAGCTTCGGACATATACAGTCATAACAGGTTTTTCTTTGAAAATATAATTAAATTATAAATAACTTCTAACAAAGTTTAGGTACCCACATATTTTAAAATTTGAGGAACTTATGTACCTACTAAACTAAAAAAACAACAAAATATATTCTAAGAAACATCATAGGATTAAAACAAAGAAATGGTTTTAGAACTAACAGAGTAAATAAAAATGCATACGTATTTATTTTAAATTTAGAGAACTAAAATTTACGCTAAATTTAAAAAACTTGCCAAGCGGGTATTGCCAGCAACAGAAGTTGGCCTGGGGAGTTTTGCCTCAATGTCGGATCTTGCAATAGTGGAGATGTCATCAACATCAGGGAAATGGAAACGATTGTGCAAATGTCTCAAATATTTTACAACAAATTCGCCATACTCTGCAAGCTGTATTACTTGCCCGACATAATAAACAACCGTTTTCTTAGTAGGAAATCTCACCAAGATATAATCATCACATAATATCTTCTCATCATCTGCAAAAAGAAAAATTGAGACATCAGAAAACCAAAATAGTAGAACAGTATTTTTTACCTAAAAGCTTATCCATTTCATCGTAATCAGACTCCATGTCAATATCTGATTCAGATGATGCAGTTTTGAAAAATTTATATTTCTTTCTTGTTGATTCAACCAAATCAGACTCGGAATCTGATGAAGACGAGTCACTTTGCCTTCCTCTTTTCATTGTCTTCCTAGTATTTTTATTATTTTTTTTGTTGGACATTTTGTTTTGTCATTGGTTTTTTATTTTGGAAATCTTGTTTGATCGAAATATCTATTAATATATTTTTTTTTTCTGTCAGACTTGGCTAACTTTGATCTTCTCATTACTTCTAATTCTTTAATGCGACATTTCTCTGGTGTGCTTGTATAGATTCTTGATTTTCCAAAACGAGATTTCCTATTAGTTTTTCGAGGTGGTGCCTTCGGAAATGGTTTAATATCTAATGGCTTTAGAACATGCATTGAAATAATATTGGTGGATGGCTTGGCTACCTCATTTACAATTTCGTCAACTATGGATCGCACAATTGCAGTTACTTCTTCTTCTTTTTCAGTAAAAGTGGATATTGGGTTGGTAAATAAAAGAGCAGTCGCCGAGGTAGACATTAGATTTATTTGAGTCTCATCATGGTTAGATGTGGACATATCAGCGTAAATTGCCTTCTGGTCGTTTGATTTAGGTATAATACTAGAGTCAATAGTAGTATCAGCTTCCGATTTCTTGATATTATTATTTACTTGTAGTTCTGGATATGGCCTGTCTGTCGCGTATGCTCCAAAATAGTTATCATCTGAAAAATTTATTCTGTTGACTGGCCATAGTCCGGTGCTTGAAAAGCCATTTATAATATTTTTTATAATTTAAATGCATATTTATATGCCAATTTGCGGGTTGCCTGATATGGCAAACCGTATAAAATTTGTGATTACTGTTTGAGATACATTTCTAGTTCATTTTCCTTCTTTAATGAAAATACTTGCTGCGTAACATATTTTGATAAGTGCGGACTCTCTAACGGATCCTCGTGACTATCATTACTAGAGTCACAATTATTCGCATTTTTAACCTTAGCGTTCATAACTCTGTCAATTGAAATATAGGTTATGTACTGTAAAAATCTAGTCTTTTTTACGTATATCACTTAAAAAATGAAAAATTGCAACACCCACGATTTTACACTCTTACTAATAGGTTAAACAAAAACTTACTTGAGCTCCCTCAATTTTGTTTCTTGAAATAACTTTTTAATTTAATTAAATACAGGCATGAAATTTTGTCAGCCAGCCTTTCACATGCACTACTACCAACTGTGAAAATAACGAATAGCGTCTCGTAAATTTGATTTGTCCGAAGATGCCCCATGTCCGAACGTACCTCCCTCTATTCTACCTTTTGAGGAATCCAAGGCTTATTCTTTATTTCCGGCGGGTGCCCAAAGTAATTTTTCTAAGCCTCATTTACGAACGTTGTCATATTTAAACGGTATTCTTTAAATACATACTCTCCGCAAATAAAACGAAAAAGTGACGTCAGATTCTAGACAAATTGCGAACTGAAACCAAATCAACTTTCTCCATTTCAGAAGAATATTTTCCTGTCCTCCTAAATCGATTGTGGGTTGCAGTTACTGAAAATGTGTCCAATAATTTAAAATCTGTACTTAGGGCCACAGGACTCCTGTCCCTTCAATCCTCAAGTTCTGAAACGAATTCCAGACATGCAAATACAAGGTGATGACGAAAATGCCCAGGCTGCTATCCTAAATAACAGCTTAATTGATCTGCTTGATTCAAATAAGAAAACGGTAGCTCAATCGCGTGGCAAGAAAATAGAGCCCGGTAAATAACTTAAGATAGTTGCTCCTCAATCAGAGGAACCAGTCTCTGGCCCTTCAGGGACCCAGAAAAACATTTCAAATATTAGCGACGATGATAGTGACGACAAACCACTTACAAATTTAGTTGCAGTTTCTACAAAAAAAGCAATGAGAAAGCAAACAAAAAGGGCTGTTAAAAGTACAGACGACGTCTGCGCAGCTTACTTCAGAAAGTAGGAGAATTATACAGGGCCTGATTGGATTTGTTGCAAGAAATGCAAACGATGAAATTGTGGCATTTGCAATGAGGCGAGCACGGACCTATTTTATGAATGTGCCCTCGGTATAAACGAAGATTTTGACAGTGATGACTCTTTAAAAGATGCGGATTTTTCTTTGTAAAACACTTCATGATGTGTTGAAAATTTAGTCATGTTCCTCATTATATTTCTTAAAAATTTATGTTTATTTTCGTTCAGAAATAATGTTTTAGTTAGTTTTATAATTGTTGGATAAATAAATGATTTCTTAAAAAGAAATGCATACTAACTTAAATAACATCGGAACTATGAAATGAAATTGTTTGAATCATTCAAACATACTTTTCTTGACAATGCCATATTAAATTACAAAATAAAATAATAATTCAAACACGGAAGATAATTTTACTATTGTCTTACTAAACCTTCCCCTAAAATATCAAAAGATAATTTCTTAAGAATTCTGAAATTGGGTTTTACCGGTCATTAAAGAGAGGTACTTTTACCTTTATAAGTATGTTCTAAGAAACTACAGGGGGTGTCCGCCGTCGTACAACAGAGGGGCCGTTAAAGAGGATTATAAATAAATGGTATTTCCAAATAAAATTAAATATTTATAATAATTCAATAATTATTATTAAATAAACTGCAAATAAACACTATAATACAGCGAATTTTTAGTGAAAACTATAACTCGTAAACATCATAAGTCATTCATCATTTAAAAAGTGTAATTGTGTTGGCCAGTGATTCTATCAACCAATGAAAAACAATGTTGTGAAAAAATGAGTAACTGAACACTGCCTTGCATAACATACATGTTCAATCAAACTTGTTCATTAATTTCTGTTCCTTAAATTAAGAGAACACGAAGATGGTATACTATTTTTTACGCTCTGAAATAACCTATTTTTAAATCCCAGCCTATTGGGATTTTATTTTGCCTTTTTCTACCTTAAACGTTACTTATTCAAGGTGTATCCTAGTGGAACATGAAATATTTGTATTTCGTGCGTTAGAAATAACCTCCATTTAGATGGCTCATTCACTATTTACCCAAAAATTAATGGCACTTCGAAGGTAATATCTTGTTTAGGATTGTGGAATACAAGTTGGTTGTTATAAATAATGATGTGAAGAGGATACTCTGTACTGTAATGTTATTTTTGTTTTTTGTCTAAAAACTTTAGTTTTCTTTTTAAACGGTTTATTAGGGCTAGAGTTGAAAGCTGACTAAATCACAACTGAGAACCGTTACATATCTTGGATACCAAGTATGTTCAATTACTGTTTATTAAAGTATTTTACTTAAATAGTAGTTTGTGCAACAAGAGTGAATATGGGCAATCCACTCAAATTGTACAGTATATTTTTTCTATGACCCACTAACGAAAACCTACAAAGTTTTAAAATTAATTTGGAGATTCCTTATCCTTGATATAAACATCGGACCTTCTGCATAAAAACTCACTATCCATCTCTGCACTAACGAGACAATTATATTGGTTTTAGTCTTAGATTAAAGAGACCAAAAATGTAACATTTCACATCGCGCACGTTATCTATTCCAACCCTAAGTAACTCACCAATTAAAAATCAATGTGTCCACGACGCGACGCGACGCCTCCCGTTTTGATCCGACATTTCTATTCTACGCTCGTCTCCGCGTAAGTAAATCATCATGGACCACCATTTTTTGAATTATTTGTTGGTGTTATTAGGAATTTAAAGTGTCTTAGTTATTCAATTTCAAGTTGAAAATGCCACGATGTATCGTGAAAAATTGTATATACGTGCCAATGTTATGAAAAATAAGAAATATATTTGTTTTCAGCGGTAAATATTTATTAACGTTTTGACATAAAGTCGCCATGATCCTTTGGGCTGAATACTTCAGATCCGCATTAAGGGGTTTCAATAAATATTAGGCATCAAATACATAATATTTCAAAAAAATAGATTTCATAATGCATAAATTTACAAAAGAGCAAAATTTTAAACATTTAATCTAAATAACAAGTAAATATCCATTGTTACTAACGAAATTTTGTTTTTAAAAAGTAGTTTTATAAGAATATTTACTAAAGGTGGTTTAAGCCCTTTTTGGTAGATATATAAGAAGTAAAAAAGCATAGTTGCTAGCGAAATTTTATTTTTATAAGAATATCAGATGAAATACAAGATCACCTACTTAAAATTTCAAGATTCATCTTACTTACGGTTAAATCGGAAGTGACATTTGAATGTTAAGTCTTAAAACAAAGTAAAACGCACAATATGATCTAGTACAAGCAAAAAAATTACTGAAGATACGGAAGTTAGTCATATTGTTAATAAAATGTTACATTATAAACCCCTAAACAACTTGAACAAAATCCGAATCTCTAAATATTGGTGCTAAATGCTCGGGTAAAAGCAAGCGACCGATAGGGGTTTCAAAAATAATCGATTTATTGATTTTTTTTATGAAAATCGATTTATCCGTTATAATTAATCGATTATTTTCGATTAATTGAACATTCTCAATAAATTATTTTCATTTTCTTAAGATAATGGAATAAGAAGAAATTACAAAAAGAATGTAGATTTATTCAAAATATTCGATTAATTGAAAATAATCGATTTTTTTAGAAAAATTGATTTATTGTTTAATCCGCTTTTTAAATTAATCGATTATTTTGGATTTTTTAATGATAATCAAATGATTAATTTTAAATGTAAAAAAGGATTGTTTGAAAATAATCGATAATTCAATTTTTTTTTGGAAATCGATTTATCGTAGAATCGGCTTCTTAATTAAATGGGTATTTTCGCCTCATCGATTATTTTCGATTAAGCCATTATTTTCGAATAATCTATTATTTTCGATATTTCAAAGATGATCGAATAATTGATTTATCGGTTAATCGACTTTTTAATTAATCGATTATTTTTAATAAATCGATTATTTTTAATTAATCGATCATTTTCGACTTTTTTAGGATTTTCGAATAAACTGTTTCAATGGAAATACGAAAAAAAAAATAGATTATTTGAAAATAATCGATTATTTAAAATAAACGATAATTCGTTTATTACTTTTTGTAAACACTGATTTATCGGTAAATTGGCTTTTTAATAAATCGATTATTTTTGATTTTTCAAAGATTATCAAGT